TGATTATTCTGTTGATTCTGCCAATTATTCTCCTGGAAGTTCGCAACAAACCAACAACCTTACTGCAGTTGTGGAAATAACCACTCAACCTTATCTAGAGAGATTTACTCCAACAACTTTCAACTAATGAAATATCTGCCAACATGGATGACACGTGGCATCATTATACTATTTTGCAAAAATGGGTGTAAACACTTGGTTTGGATGATGATGAATTACTTGGGATTAACTCCTTCAAAGGTGGTACGTGGGTGATGTGTTAGAGAGGAACGAACTTAACATTTAAAAAATTGCAGCTATGTATGGATAATTTTTTTTATTATTTTTTTATATAACTTTTATATTTCATGAAATGAATAGATGTATTTAATATCACGGTTTCACATAAATAAAAAAAGTTAATTATTTAAATAATATGTTAGGTTATATTAAAAGATGATATAAAAAAATTATTTTTAAATCATTTTTCTTTAAAAAATCATTAAATAGTGCCACATCATTAGAAAAACCATTTTATAGTGCCACGTAAACCTTTTGTATTTACACCTCGTTTTTATGTAATATTTTAAAATTAAATAACACAAACTTTTTAATGATAGTTGTGGTATGTTGCCACCTAACTCACAGAGATCCTAGAAAGGTTAAAAAAATAAATTTTAGAAATAAAAGAGATTTTTTTAAATAGAAGAGTTAAAAAAAAAAATTTTTTTCAAAATAAAGAGATCAAAATAAAATTTTATTTTTTTATTATCTAACTAATTAGATTTAACATTGTTAACAAATTATTTGACTTAATCGTACGTAACGTTTTTGTCTAACTGAAATTTTAGTTGAGAATTTTAATAATTTTAAAATTTTAATTAAGTACAATAAAACTTTAAAACTTTAATCACAAATTTAATATAAATTCAGAACCTTACGTACTAACTTTAGCTTCGTTCTTTCTTTGTTTATCTTTCCTTTTCATTTTGCGCTTTGGAATTCTCTTGTTAATTTATTAGTGAATTAATTGTGCTATGTTTATGGTTATGTATCAGATAATTTTAGTATCTTATCTTATTATATCGTAAAAATTATTAAAATTTTAATAAACTTTGAATAAATATATAATTAGCTTTTAAAAATTTTTTTAAAATCTTTAAAAATCTTAAAATCTTACTATATTATAAAAATTGTTAAAAATTTTAGTAAATCTTAAATAAATACTCAATGGGCTTTTAACAATTCTTAAAAATTCCTTGAAAATTCTTCAATAAACTTTTTAAAAATAATTATAAAATCTCGAATAAATACTCAATAAGTCTCTCTTACTCCATCAAAAAAAAAAAAAAGTCTCTCTTACAAATTTAAAACTAATCTAAACTTAAGAATCTAATATTAGCCAACTACACCTTCATTGTATAGATATAATTAAAATAGTAAAGAAAATGATACATACACCTTGTAAAGTTACACACTCCGTTACACACTCCGTTACACACTAACGGTTTCCATTACTTGTACCGTTATAACTAACGATTTCTGTTATTTATACTATTAAAACTTATGGTTTCATTACTTATGCCGTTAAAACTAACGGTTTCTGTTAAATATTGACGAAAATCATCAATGTGTAATGGAATATGTAACTTTATAGGGTGTATATATCATTGTCCAAATAGTAATCAATAAAACTATCTGACTTAGGAATCTATTTTAATTCATAAAGTAATTAAATACTCTAAATTTAGTTTTAATTCAAATTTTAATTAAATTGGGACTTTTATTTATTTTTTACTACATTAGAGGGTTAATTACTTAATATTATAAAGGTTTAAACCTCTCACCTATATCTTAAATTAAAGTTTTGAAGTTAATTTTCGACCAAACTCTTGTTGGTAATTTAGAGTTTCATAATTTACTAATTATGACTTTAATTCAACTTCTAATTTAATATGGACTCAAGCTTTACTAGCTAGTCCCACTATAATATAAAAATATTATAAAAATTGTTAAATTCTTCAATAAATTTTAAGTAAATACTTAATGGGCCTTAAAAATCCTTAATAAATATATTTAAAATTCTTCAATAAATATCAAATAAATATCTAATAAATCTTTTAAAATCCAAAATTAATTATATTCTCAATAATATACGTACATACATATATATAAGAGAGATTTATTTACACATAAATCTTGTATATCACATTTACACAAAATTTTAACCGTTCACTTCTTCGCTTTTAATGATTTAGATTTATCATAACTTTTTAAATTTATTATATATATATATATATAGAGATACATATATACATATACACACGTTCCCATCTCTACCACAATCATCATCATCATCACCAACATTCGAACCAAAGACATTTTCAAGAACATAAATTACAACTAGCCAAGTCAATCATATGGTGCTATTTTACTATATTATATTTTTGAGAATTATTAAAATTTGAGTTATTGCTTATTAAATTTTATTGTCATTAAGACTTAAAATGTATTAAATTCAAAAATTTTTAAAGAGCTAAAATTTTATTTATGTCTAGTTAATAGTTCTATTTATTATCTAAAGTGGAACTTCTCTTTCCTCAACTTTGGGGAAGAATTTATGGAAAGTTGCTCAATCTTTCACAAAACAAAAGTTAAATAAATCAATAAATATAAATTTAGAGCAAATTTGCCTGCATAGGAAGGCAAGAATCACTTTTTTTCAATAAATTTTAAATAAATACTTAATATTCTATTAATATCCGATTAAAATTCTTCTAAAATCTCAAATAAATACTCAATTAGATTTTTAAAATATTCAATAAATAATTATAAATATAATTATAATTGTAATTATCAAGACATCAATTTGATTCCACAATTTAATTCAGCAAAAAAAAAAAAAAGGAAAGAAAGAATCTAATAATTCCAAATTGATTTAATAACTTTAACTATATAATAGTTCAAATCTAATTTTATCTTATAAAAAGGGTTTTCTAACTTGTATTGTTAAGGTACAAGTTAAAAATATAATTATTATACTTATTTTAAATTCAATAGTTGTCACGCCCCAAAAACCGGGAGCGAAACAAATGCTGTACACTTGTGAGAGGGTCTCACAAATGCACAAGGCTCGGAACCTGCTAAATTTGTAACTATCAAACCACATAACTTATATATGAAAACTCAAGTAGTACCTAGCTTTCAACTACCAAGTTAGTCTAGTCAAGGTGCACAAAAGTTTTATAACTTAATCAACACATTCATGACTATAACCAAGGGGACTTTAGTATACAAAAGAATGATCTATCATCTATGTCAAAATATGTGAGACTAGTGGTCTAACTCCAAAACAATCTAAGATCAAAATACAAAAGACTAGCCTTCTAGCTCGTCACTCCCCTTGATTTCCCATGTTTCGAGTCTCATTACTTGAAATGGTGGACAAGGAAAAACGATGAGATATCTCAATAAGTAAAATATGGATAATCTTCATTTATAGTTAAGCGTGTCATCAAGCGTAATGAAACTTTAAGAAAAGAAAACTAGACGAATATGAGAAATAAAATAGACGTCTCCTCTATAAGTCATGACCAGTATTTATAAACCTCCCATTGGCAGGCATAAGACTTGCTAGTGTATAATCCCACTAGCAGGATAACAGTATAACATGAACCGGTTCTACAATTAATATGTCGACATGTGCTAGCGTTTATAAGCCTCCCACTAGCGGGCACAGTAAAACATGACCACAAAACCAAGTAGAAGTTAACAGGAAAACTATAATTTCCAAATCATTAGGGTAGTCAAGTAAACTTTAAGTAGGCATGCTTAACTCAATAAAAATGATAATAATTTCATTTCAAACCAATATGCTTGTGTTTGTGTAAAATGGATTTAATTCTGCCACCATCTCAAAAACCATCCAAAACATGCTTTCAAAAATCTTTACCTTAAAATCCAAGGACATTGCCATACTTTTACTTACCTCTTCTTGCAGGCTTACAATAGCAAGCATTCAAGGTTTCAAGGAGACGGTGATGACTTAAAACCTATTTCATAATCAAGAACAACAGGGTCACAATATGCCTCATTCAACTAAAATTCATCTTTAATTCTAGCACCAAGTTCTATCCTAAAGGAACAATTTCTCCCTATCTCCTCTTGTCATTCTACCCACCAAAACCTTACTAGTATATATATATATATATATATATATATGTATAATTCACACATAGTCATATAAAAATTTCCAAAGATGACAGCTGA